ATCGGTGAATTTTCAAAAATTCATTTTTTTCTAGATTTTTTGTTCAAATATCCTTTGATTCGAGACAATAACATTTATTTTTTTTGTTATTACATTGTTTCACTGATATGCACAAAAAATTTCATCAAGATATGTTGGCTAGTTCAAGAGATATAGCGTTCTACGTAGGTACAAGTTTTGAAAAAAATCGCTCAAAAATTTGAGGATGCTGTCACAAAAATCTTCATAACTTGAAAAATAATTGAAATTTTTTTATAAAAATTTTATTTTGTCGATGAAATACATTGAGGTACTTACTGTTCAAATTTTAAAAAAATCGGAGATGGTCGGGCGTGGACCATGGTTCAAGTTGACAGAGAATGACCCATTAGCAAACATCTCATCTCAATTCTACACATACATTTCAATATAACATGTGCAGTACACACACACACACTCAAACACACACACAAACTGTCGAGTTCTACATTATAAACATTTATACTCCTATACAAAGATGACAACACGCAAGCAGATGAACAGGCCAAAGACACTTAAATTACACACACACAAACAAACACACTCACACATACACACACAAACAAACACATTCACACACACACACACACACACACACAAACAAACACACATACATTTTGATTCCCACGAGTATCGCCTCTTTTGTATCGCCTCTTCATCTTTATCTTTTTTAACACCAAGATTGATAACATTAGTAGTAGCAGTAATAATAATAATAAAAAATAAAAACAATAATAATAATAATTATTATTATTGTTATATTATTAGCAACAGTAGTAGTAGTAGCATCAGCAGTAGTAGTAGCAGTAGCAGTAGTAGTAGTAGTAGTAGTAGTAGTAGTAGTAGTAGTAGTAGTAGTAGTAGTGGTAGTAGTAGTAGTAGTGTAGTAGTAGTAGTGTAGTAGTAGTAGTAGTAGTGTAGTAGTAGTAGTAGTAGTGTAGTAGTAGTAGTAGTAGTAGTAGTATTGGGCACACACGCATACATACACACACACAATCATCGACAAAGGCAGGCGATTGCAAAAATGTGTAAATTTAAAAAAGCAAATGTTTTGCAGAAAAACAAAACAAAGGAGAAAAATGTTTCCCACGCCAAAAAATCTCGAATTTTCTCGTTGCTATAAATAAAATAAGTATATATATATATATATATATATATATATATATAATGTATACATGTATACTTTTATAATAGTCATAATATATATATGTATATATATATATATGTATATACATACATACATACATATACACACACTCACACACATATATATTCATATTCAATCATTCACATATTAACGAAGATGTCCACAAGTTGTTTATTTGCATACGCAAATAAACAACTTTCATCTTTGCAATGGCGTAAACATAAAATTATTATTTTTAGATAAACACAACAGAAAAGTTTTTAATTTATATCTAAAAGGTCTAAATATCAAACAGCGTCTTATGTAATCTGGCAATTTATTACATTTCTTGACACCGTAATAGAAAATATTTCAACTCAGCATCGCATCCCTCGTCAATTTTTCTTTGAACGTGTGATCACCAGTTGCCCTGGTACATGGTACCTGGTACTGGAAGTTATGACTGCCGGAAGGAGAGGCTCGACCATTTTGTCATCGCTGATTTTTAAAAACTGGAGATGTACTTTAAAGATGAAAGAGCAAGTTCTGTAGTAATTTATTTCGTATGTTGATAAAATTTGTTGTTTGTTAAAAAATCATTCGTTTGCTTTTTTTTCATAAATAAAAATTTTCTAAAAACCTATTTTGGTCATGGTACAATATAAGATTACAATAATGTGTAAATGAGGACATATTAAGGTTTAATGTAACGTATTACCTACATTTACATTACGTATTAACTACCAAAAATTGACTTATAATGTTTAAAAACAACCACACGCACTCTTCTCTCTCTCTCTCTCTCTCTCTCTCTCTCTCTCTCTCTCTCTCTCTCTCTCTCTCTCTCTCTCTCTATTTCACACACACACACACACACACACACACACACACACACACACACACACACACACACACACACACACATAGGTATACAAATTCATACAGCAGATACATAAATAATTCTACATAACCAGACGAAAATAATTGAAATAACAATGAAACAATGAAACGAACATATTAATAATTATATGCATATTTTAAAAGAACGCTTATAAAATATATCACTCTACACATAATAATAGAATTCATAAATGGCGCATAATACAATATAGATACATATAATATAAGTGTGTATGTATTTGTTTATGTATGTGTGAGTGAGTGCGTGTGTGTGTGTGTGTATCGATATACAAAACAATTTTTGTACGCAAAAAGTTATTTTCCCACGGTCTTGCAATTGTGATCACCGAGAATCATCTCAATAGTTCCATGTGAACTATATATATAAATATATATATAAGCGTACAGTAATAATATTTATGTTAAATATATATGTATATATATATAAATAATATATGAATATATATATATATATAATGTTTATTATTATTATGTTTATTATTGTTATTATTATTGAATATTATCATCGTCATTATTTAATGTTTCGTAGACCGTTATGCGATCATATAAGCGATAACGATCAACATATATTTTAAGCTATTTATAAAATATTTATATATAAATAAATAAATAGATAGATAAACAAAAAATAAATATATACGTACATACACATGCACTACACACATACAGTCAGACATATGTATAAACATATATTTAGTTAGATATATACAGATAATTCTTAGTAGAGTGTCATGATCGTTGATTGCGTGGAAATGGTCTTTGGGAGTTGAATTCTCATGTTCGTCGTGTTTGTTTGTTCACCTTTGTTCATTGTTCGTTCGTTGTTTATTCGTTTTATGTTTTAATGTACTTAGTTTTGTTTGCTTGTTCGTTGTTTGTTTTCATGTTTTGTTCATTTCTGTGTAGTTTTCGTTTGCTCATTTTATTTCTATTCATGTTTTCTCTGTACTTCTTCGATGCTGTTTCATTAAGTATTTTCATTATTTGGTTAATATTTATTTATTGCCCTCCCCTTTCATCATCCTGTTGTTCGTTTGTTGTTTAAAAATAATATTCTTTTATTATATTTTATTTTTGAAATTTATGCTAATTTAAAAAAAAATGATATTATATTAAATTTTATTAAACCGAGGCAGAAAATGCTATTAGAACTTTCATCGTTCAACATCACCATCGAGATTATCATGACTTTAATGATAATCATCATCATCATCATTATTATTATTATCACGTCATCATTACCACCACAAATTTCATATATCACCATTATCAACGTCATCGCACTCCTCACCATCATCGTCATTATCACTACCATTATCATCATCATCGTCGTCGTCATCTTCATCAGCATGGGAACGGGTATTGGAGATTAACGTCATTCCCATGCTCTTCTCAGATCAATCGTCAAACAACAGCAAAATAAATATCAATAATAATAAAACACACACACAATCAAACACACACACACACACACAAACAGACACGTAGCCAGGCGCATATCACGTGACGCTATCCATTCACACGGAAATATGTGTTAATGCATTGTGAAGTGCGTGCTATTTTCTGTGTGAAAATGTATGCTATGCATGTTTGTGTTTCATTGTATGTGTGCATGGTTGTTTGTGTGTGTGTATGTATATAAACACGCAATTCATAATTCAATCAAACATCCATATCTTAAATAAAAATTCCATTTTTAAAATTATTAATTTTATTTTAACCGAAAATTCTACAATTTTTTTAAAGACTCATAAACATTTCATCATACAACTAAACAAAAACTTACTACGATCCAAAAAAACGCCAGTTTATGGGAAATCAGAAGTTAAACCACAAGCTAGAATCAGTGAACTCTCATACTCGCGTGTGATGCGCGCCTGTGCATGTTTGAAATTTGACGGGTTGGTCAAATAATTAAGCAAATGTTCGCTAGTGCGGCAAAAATTTGGCTGATGACTTTTTGCTCAAGTCAATGGTTGGTAAATTTTTCTTTAAAACAGTTGTTTTTTAGTCTAAAAACTGAGTTTTATCTACTTTTAATAGAAACACTCATAACAACGGCCTCTTCCGGCCCTTAGATCATTTACAGTTTGTGCTGCGAGTTCGATTGGACATGTACGACGTGCTACAAAAAAATTTGAATTTTAATACTAAAATATTTTTTAAAACGCAGATTCCTTCTAAACTTCTCAATAAAAAGCTAGCCCATCAGCATCATCCTTTTATTGCTGCTGTAATGTGATCAGTTATATCCTAATTACTAAATAAACTTCTTGGGTTTTATATCTTAAAGTCATGATTGCTAAATAAAGATGTATTCGTATTTCAAAGCAGGAGTAGCACACAGTCATGTAAAATACTCAAAACAATATTTGCTTTATAATTTTATTCAATTTTGTTGAAAATATTAAAAATATTTATAAAACATTTATCAGAACCAACTGATCAATCAATGAGTCTATCAACAACAAAACCAATCAATACATCAACCAATCCACCTATCAATCATCTAATCTTATCTAATCAGTCGAAAAAGTCTTCAATATCCTGATCCATTAACTAATCCATAAATTATCTAATCAATCGAAAAAATCTTCAATATCCTGATCCAGTAATCCATCGCCATATCTGGTTAGATCGAGCTGATTCAGTATCAAATTTTCAAAGGTTTCCTCGAGGTCGGTCTCCCCAATGAGTATAGCGCCAACCATCCTACCCCCCTGCAGAACCACTTTTATGTACTTCTCACCTTTTTTTAATTAAACCATTGCTCTAAATTCATTCAACATTTTGTATTTAATAATTTAATAACTATTAATACGATTAAATAATGTAAGTTATATATTTTATTATATATATATATATATATATATATATATATATATATATACATTGACAAATATAATAATACAATTATTTATGCTATAACATTGATATGCATATAAAATTTGTGTAATAAAAAAAAATTAATTATGATAAATAAATAAATAAAAATGATAGTGATAAAAATAAAAAACAACCTTCCACAACTTTGATAAGAAGTTTGTAATCATCATTGAGATCCTGTCCATTAAACTTTCCGAGTAAGATAACCTAAAAAGTAATTTCATTAAAATAGCAAAAATAATAATTTAATTAATTTGAAAAGTTAAATTAAAGAAATGGTTAAAAATATGTATTAAAATGTTTAATTGATCTATCGAACTTATGAGAATTGACAACCAAACGGAATGAGTGGAACAGAAACTGAAACTGGGTAGCGAATAAAACAGTTCGGTATTTCCAAAATTAAAAAAAAAGAATAAAAAATTAAACCCGAAAAACCAGTCAGTCAAAAATAATTTCTTCAGAGTTAAAAATTATTCATCAATGAATAAAAAAATCTTCACCTTGTAATTGAAAAATTTCGTTACGTGGGCGAACAGCTCAAAGCAGAAATCCATTTGTTCAGATTCGTCGAACACGCTAGCACCATCACCATTACCACAATCGCCACTACCACGACGACCACCACCACACATCCAGTCTGCCACCATGCAGCGTGAGGCCTGGACGCCCATCTGTCTTGCTTGGCTCCACAATCTCATCTATTGACGAGGGGTTCAAATTAAAATATTCATCGTAGGCATCACACATCATCATCCTCATATATCATACATACATCATCATCGTCATATATCATACATCATCATCTTCATATATCATACATCCTCACCCTTATATATCATACATCATCATCCTCATATATCATACATCCTCACCCTCATATATCATACATCATCATCCTCATATATCATACATCATCATCCACATATATCATACATCATCATCCTCATATATCATACATACATCATCATCCTCATATATCATACATCATACATCATCATCCTCATATATCATACATCATCACCCTCATATATCATACATCATCATCGTCATATATCATGCATTATCATCCTCATATATCATGCATCATCATCCTCATATACCATGAATCATCGTCCTCACACACCATACATAATTTTCACTAGGTAAAGTGCACAAATAACACCTGCAGCCAGAATGGTGATAGTTTCCAGCCCGCTGTACACACGTCCCCGGCGGCGTACACATCACTGATCGACGTCTGCATACGTTCGTTCACTAGTAAACCGCCATCTTTCCCTAATTCAAACTTTCAAATTAAAAGAAATTCAATACGTCACGCTGGTTAGTTTTTGTTTTGTTATTATCATCATTGCAGTAATCATCGTCTCAATAATCATCACCATTTTTATAATTAACCACAACCACCATAGTTTATGACCACCACCGTGATTAACGAGGCATCCAACAAAAAATCATCATCAACATCCTCCCCCCTCATTATCGTCATCACAGCCACCTTAACATTTTCAAATGATTTAATGTTGGGCAGCACTCCAGTAGCACTGATCACGAAATCACAGCCGTACAACTTTTCATTGGTCAGTCGGACGTACACCGGCCACTCTGCATCATTAATTAAGACTCCTTCAACACACACACACACACACACACACACACACACACACACACACACACACACACACACACACACACACACACACACACACACACAAACACACACACACACAAACACACACACACACACACATATGTGTGTGTGTGTGAATATTTGAAATCTGTCCGCAGTATTATTACCAATATTTTTTTCATCACTACCATATCGTCATCGTACCAAGCACTAACATTAACATTACAGACACCAAAATGAGCAAATTATTCACTAAATGAATCATCATTATTTAGAGGACAACTATCACCGTCATTATTGTTATCAGTCCGATCATCATTGTAATTATTAACCACCTAAATCATTCAGTGCGGATCCTTCAATAGAATTCTGGATCAAACCAAGTGACCTGACCTGATTCAAGGTCAGAATGTCCTTCACCTCCACGCAGTACTCAACTGTTTTCATCTTATCCCCATCCTTCTGTCCAACAGAAATCTTTTAAAATTTGATTGAATGATTATGCGAATGAAAACCATCGGCATTAAGAATTGTAAGCGAATCTGATATCAAATGGCCGAACACACGAGGCATGCGTAGGTACTGGCGTACAAACACACGCGCATCATCGCAAGTATAAATAAACATCAGCCATTATAACGACATCCTCATCACAACAATGTCCTCCTTGCACCTGACCTTGCTAGTTCGACCTTGTGCCTTCAGCAGATCAATCCAATCCGGTCCCAGCGCACACCCGTAACTGGAGGTATGCGTGTTGGCATCCTTACTTGCTCTGAGACACCCAGCAGCATCTGAACTCATTTTTAGATAATTTTTCAATTTGAATAATTTTTGCAAATATGAAAATGCGTAGTATGCCTTAACAAGCGGCAATTAAGTATAACAATGCCATCTATTGAGCGGCAACGCAGGCGACTGAGGCGCTCGAGGTATGAGCCAAAGGTATCTATTAATGCCTTGCACGCACGGCATGGCAGCAGTGACTTCATTGATATTCGCAAAAGAGTTTTGAAAATGTCACGCGGAACTCTTTAAATATTAAACGGCGTGTAATGTGGCGACGGAGGTCCTAACCACTCTGCCAATTCGTCGATTAAACGTTGACACGAACGCCATAGGTGCTAATAAAAATAATTTTTTTGGGCGAACAAATAGTTTGTTAAAGAAATAGTTATGACAACAATTTATTGAATCAGAGAACGAAGAGCCAACAATTGACCTGCTTCAACGGAAAACTTCCCCCTCTTCACAAAAGGTTCCTCTTCGGCTCCCACGCCCAACATGTGCGGAAGGAGGAACCTGGATGCCCCCGGATCAATGAAGGTGCTGATTATCGAATTATCTTTTATAGCCCACAGCACTTCACATCGCTGAATTTTAAAACTTCAAAATTTGAATAAATATAAAAATAACTTTGAATTAAAGTTTTAGAGGAATGACGTGATTTGTTGTTCACTATACTATATCTATATCAAAAGGTACACATTTATTGTAGGTACATGTTGGTACGTTGATGCCTTTCGTTTCGTTTTGCAAATTCCAAACAAACAGTTTATTGATGACAGACAATAAAGGTGTCGCGAATTTGTAATGACAGTAAGAGAAAATGTAAAAAAATATGATGACGGTATTTTGATGATGTTCATTGTAGTTACCAAATATGCTAACGTAATTATAATCAGCTAGGCTATCAGCACTTACACTAGTTCTGTGGCAATCCCTCCATTGCCAACAATGACCACCCTGCGAGATTTGACAAGCCTGGATTCAAACTCCTAATCAATTAAGTTATGTGATTAGGTCATGTTATGTGATTAAATTAATTAAATTATTTTAACCAGCAATGATGTAGTGATGACAAAATCAATTTTCTGTATAAATTATTCCATGTGAATAAATTAAGAAATTTTGAATTTTAAATGTAAGAATTGTTTGATGCCAAACATTTGATAAAATAATAAAAATAATAAAATGCTAGGAATTGAAAAAAAAGTGAAATGAAATTAAAAAATGAATAAATTTTATTCCTGCTAAAATAATCAAAATAAGTTATATATATGATATTGATGATAAAAATGATAAACAGAACAAGGCATTATCATTATTATTTTCATCGCACATGTTGAATATTTAACAACTATTCATTTATTTGACCAACAAAAACTGTTTCTGTGTCCCGGATGCCAATAACAAACTCATTGTTCTTTGCAATCACCTTGAGAAGAGTGTTTTAACTTGAAATAAGCAGTATTAACATTAAAATTGCTATACTTTTTAAAAATTATCATCCAAATACAAATAAAAATTGCTATATAGCGAAAAAACAATCTATTCTAACCTTTGGACTAGCCCCAGTACAAATACACAATTTTTCATATCTGAATGATTTGCTATTGATGGTGCCAAGTACCTGTGTGAATATTTTAAATTATTATCGTGTTATCATTAACAAAACTAAAAAATTGTGATAATTTAACTAATCAATCCATCATTAGATATAGATGACCTTATTAAATGAATCAAACGATGAGACCTCATCCTGAGTGATTGACACATTGGCATATTGGGACTCTAGCTCCGATGAATGCTTCTCATAAACATCAAATTGCTCCAGGTTCCTAGTCAACTGTCATTAGATGTTTTCAAAAATTTTTATTTATTTAATTATAATTAAACTATGCAAATTAGTAAAGAAATAACAATAAAAATAAACTAAATGATTTGAAGACACAGAAAATTACTGTAGCTATCTAGAGATATATTTTATAATAGCATAATTATTATAGATAGCACACACCTGTTTTAGATTGATGACTGATTTTACAATTGGGGATGAACTGATGAGTAAGATATTATCTTCTGGACATAATGTGGCCAGCTAGAAAAATGTTTTTGAACAATTTTTTTAAATCATAATAAAATCATCAAATGATTTTTATGCAAGAAATGATATGCATTTCTTTCCCAATTTTTAAATGAGGTAAAAAATTTATTTCTATTTAATAAATATCATAATTAAAATATGAAATAAACTTTCAAAAATTAAAAAATGTCTATCTATTCATCCAGTAGACACCAACATTTTCAACACATGAGACACCAGCTATTCCTCCCCCCACAACAATAAATGTATACTTCTCAGCCATTTATTATTATTAAATTGTGAAATTAACTATTAGTATTATAATTCAGTTGGTTCTTTTTATTTCAATCTATTAAAATAAAATTAAATTAAATTCTAATAAAAAATTTGAATTTATTAATAAAGTGATTAAAGTCTAATCTAAACTAAATCTAAAATTTTAAATAAAAAAATCTGAGATCCGATTCTGTTAACTTGAAAAGAAAAAAATTAATTGAAAGATGAAAAAAATTTAACAATTTTGTAGAAACAACGACAACATTAACTAATACAAAAACTTGATTTTGATCTGTAAAATTTTCATTTTGTCTGTCGCTATCACGATGTTTTGTTTATATTTAAAAAGTGAACTTCACAAAATTTATTTTTGTCCACTTTTAAACTAGTCATATTACAAATCTAAATTATATACTTCCGGTTGACCCGTCAACATAAGTTTGTGGATTTTTTTTAGCAAGAATTCACCGTTCAGTTAGAAAATACTCCAAAAAGTAAAACTTTTCACGTCAATTACCTTATTTATTAATTTATTTATATTATTTATGTTTTATTAAAGTAGTTTTATATTTAATATATAATAATATTTAAATATTTTAGACTGTTCTAGTTAGTTTTTAAAATTTTTATTCAATTTATTTTAAAATTTAAATTTTTAAATAAAGAAATAATAATCAATATTAAAACTTGTGTGATCTGCCAAATCAAAAACAATTCATGTCAATTCAACATAATCTCAAGTCAAATCAAACAAGACTATATAATATATAAAATAAACTAATTGATTGAACATTGAAGGCAGGCACAAGAAGATGATGTCCAGTAGTAATGGTTTTCAAGTTTCCTATAGCAATGAGAGACCTCCATCCTCTCAGGGAAATGTGGCCGATGGCAAGGACTTAGACATCGCCAGTGACCCTGCTAGTAGCAGTTTCTTCATGAATGATTACAAAAAGTATGTTTTTAATTTTAAATATTTTATTTTTATTAGTTATCTTAAACTTCATATTGATTTTGTCAAGACATTGATAAAATAAATGATTAGTTATTATTCATTTAATTTCAAAATATGAAAAATTTATTTTAAGGAGTTTTATATGTAAAACAATCTGTTTATATATTAAACTTTAATAATTTTTCTATCATTTTTAATTCTCTTTGATGAACTCATTAGATCAATGTTTTTTTAATTTATATTTCAAATTATTTTTAAAAATCTAACAAAAGTAAATTTATATAAGAATCAAAAGTTGGTATAAATAAAATTTGAAGTATACTGTATTCTAAACTAAGTCAATTACAACTTGTATTCTTGTCAATGTCAAACATCATTGCAATTCTACTGAATAAATCTCATTTGTTGAAGGCATGAGGACTTGAAGCAGATGTTAGATAATAACAAGGATAGCATGAAATTGGAAGCTATGAAGAGAATTATAGGGGTAAGTTATTGTGTTGCAATTGTGGGAATTATGCTAATAACATCAGTGAGAACTGTTGTTATATTGATTTTTAGTCGATCTTTAATGAGAATTGTGATCACCCATTTTGATGCTGTAAATAAAATAAGCAATATTTTTTTATTTAACTTTTTTTTCTAATTTTAAAAATTTTTATAACTTTTCAAAATTTGAAGATGGTAGCAAAAGGCAAGGATGCATCTGATCTCTTTCCAGCTGTTGTCAAGAATGTTGTCTCCAAGAACATTGAAGTATCAATGATCATGTCTCATGAAATTTTTTTAACTGCTTCTGAACACTACTTATGAACATTTCTTAATAATACCTAATATAACTATAAATATTATATCTAAAATGTGAGTTTATTTTCTGTTGTAAGTTGTAGTTGTAGGTGAGTGAAGTGACAGAGTAGTAATAGTTGGTGGTGCACTTTGTAGGTATTTAAAGAAATTGTCATTATTCTCATGAAATAGGTCAAGAAATTAGTGTACGTCTACCTGACTCGTTATGCAGAGGAGCAGCAAGACCTTGCACTCCTATCCATAAGTACCTTCCAAAGGGCATTGAAGGTTTTTTTATTTTGATGTACTTTTTTTTACTTTCCAACAAATTTTTAAACATTTTAGTTACGAATTAGTCTTCTAATCATAATATTTTTTTTTCCATTGCTCTATACTATCAATTTTTACATTTTAATCTGAATTGAAACTAGGACCCAAACCAGCTAATTCGCGGCAGTGCATTGAGAGTTCTGTCCAGCATTCGAGTGCCGATGATCGTTCCCATCATGATGCTGGCCATCAAGGAGTCAGTTTCAGATATGTCTCCTTACGTCAGGAAGACTGCTGCCCACGCCATCCCGAAGCTCTACAGGTCTTTTTCCTATTGGATTTTTTAGAATCTGTTCAGTTCCTTGTTACTATTATGTTTTTTTTTCATCATATTTCAGCCTTGATCCTGAGCAAAAAGATTTACTGATTGAAGTTATTGAGAAATTATTGGCAGATAAAACAACAGTTAGTGCATTTGCTTGTCTACTTGTAAAATACATTCTGAAAGCCAATTTAGTTTTTGCATTACTCACTTAACATGCACATGATTTCTTCATCGCCATCATCTTCGTCATCATCATCTTATTCAACATTGAAGTTAGTAGCAGGCAGTGCCATCCAGGCATTTGAAGAAGTCTGCCCAGAAAGGATCGATTTGATTCATAAGAATTACAGAAAGCTGTGCAATCTGCTTGTCGATGTTGAGGAGTGGGGGCAGGTTGGAACATTTTGTTACAAATTTTGCAATTCTGTTTCCATTTTTTGCGCTTTTTCAATGTAAAATGTTCTCCCACAGAGTATGTTAAAGAATTTTTTATGGCAAACATTTCATTGGAATTTGATTTTTTGTCAAATATTAATAAATATTTTCATAACACTATTGATTGATCCGTTTTTTAAATGGCCCAAATAAAGAAACATTGTAAAATAACATACATAAGTTACTCAACCTGAAATTAATGAAATTTAAAAAAAAATTGTCTCAGGTTGTCATAATCAACATGTTAACTCGATACTGCAGACTTCAATTTGTCAACCCAAACCAGGCTGTTAGTTTTCATTTGTTCTCATTTCAATTTTCACCATTTCATTATTTTGAAGTTTAAATTTCACATCTTGGATCATCTAACAGGCTGACTCTATACATTTACTTGCATATTTACTCATTACATTAGGTGTACAACAATTTTCTGCATCCCATTATTCAAAAAGTTGTTTAGTTAAAGTTGTTATAACAACTTTAATTTTCATTTCACTCAAAATTGAACTGCCCATACCACAAAATCAATTTAACCACCAATCGACTAACCATCCATTTTAATAATTAATTAGGAACCCCTAGATGAAAATGATCAAAAAGCATTTTATGGTTCAAGCGACGAATCAGATAAGGAGGGTAGTAGGAAGAAAAAATCAGCCAGCCAATCAGAAGAGAAGAAAACCTGTCAATCATATGTCATGGACCCTGATCACAGACTGCTTCTCAGGACATGTAGACCCCTGTTGAACAGTCGAAATGCTGCTGTTAGCTCTCTCTTTCCTTCATTACATTCATTGCTTGCTTAATTAGTCTGATTTAGTTTATTATTTGTTAATTTTATACTTTTTATACTAATCTAAGCATGGTCAACATATGGTCCACACTCAATCAGCTTAATTATCTTATCCGGCTCGTGATTGCATTTCGATTGTTCCAGAAATCTGAGTCGTAAATCAAAATTGTTGGCCATGACTACCAATCTGCCCTGAACTTTACTTTCAATTTCAAGTCTCCGTTCACTTATTTATACAGTATTTCTAATGTAATGACTTGTCTATTGTTCTTGCATTTGTAACAAAGGTAGTAATGGCGGTGGCTCAGTTGTACCATCACTGTGCCCCAAAGTCAGAAGTTTCCACCATTGCGAAGGCTCTTATTCGTCTGCTCAGGGGCCACAAGTTAGTTGAGGGGAGGGGTTAGAGACTTTGTGGTAGTTGGAATGTCTTGGTTGGTGTGCTACAAAATATGTTGTCGTTAGTAAATAGCGCCATCAGAGTGATGATAATGATCATAATGACTGACAGCGAAAAAAATAACGACAACATTAATTCTGATGACAAAGATGAGGATGATGATGACGATGATGAATGAATGTGTAACATTTATCCAGGGAGGTGCAGTACGTTGTATTGACCAATATCGCTTCCATGTCTGTCAAGCAGAAGGTCATTTTTCAGCATTTAATGTATCCGCCATTTTTTTTTAATTTATTCAAAATTAATATTCGATGTTTTGTTTTGTAATTATGAATGTTGTATAATTAATTAATGGATATTGTATAATTAATTGTTGCGTATATCTTGTTCGTCAGTTGATGTTCGAACCATATTTGAAAAGTTTCTTCGTAAGGTTTAATGACCCTGCACATGTCAAATTATTGAAGGTTGGTTGATTGATGATTGGTTGATAATTAGCTGGTTGGTGATTGGTTAGTGGTTGATTGTTGATTGGCTGGTGGTTGGTTAGTTGTTGATTGGTTGATGATCAGTTTCTTAATAGATGTTTGATGGCTATTAGGTGGTTGGTTTTATGATTTAGTGATTGAGTGGCATTTGATTGTTTTGAAATTTTATAATTAGCTGGTTAATTTTGTTTAGCCGGTTGATTAGATCATTCTTCTTGGCAAACAGCGTATTTTTTAGTTAGTTTATCATGGCTTCTATTGTTTTAAATCAAGTGGTTAAAAAATTAAGAAAACAGACGTAATTTATGCACGCATGTTTTTCATTAAATGTTGTGACCCCACCCACAGCTTGAAATATTAACAAACCTAGCCAATGACGCCAACATATCAACAATCTTGAGAGAATTTCAGGTTATATCATGCTAACATTAACTACGCGTTTTGTTATTTCAGTCCAAATATCATGTTTACCATAACTGCCTACAACATATCAATTGTAGTTGTTAGAATGTTTAATTATTTTATTCATTTACAACGTAGTTATCACCTTCCTTCATTTCTACTTTATCATCGTCATTATCATCGGCATTGTCCTGAACATCATCATTATTTTGGTCACCATGATTATGATCATCACGACCGCCCCATGGCCACAGACCTATGTATCGAGTTCAGATAAAGAGTTAGCGGCGGCAACCATCCAGTCCATAGGCAGGTGCGCCACCACAATATCCGAGATTACAGACACCTGTCTGAATGGACTGGTCAATCTTCTATCTAATCGCAATGGTCAGTTGTTTGTTTGATGTTTGCTTTTGTGTCTGTTCGTTTGTACTTGTATGTGAATGCTTGTTTTTGTTGTTTTCTAGTGCGAAAATATTTGAAAATTCATGTTTTTATCATTTATCTGTCTATCTATTTAGTCGGCTGATGTTCAAATCTATACAACGCGTTGAAATGCTTATAAAGTTTATGTTGAAGCATTTTTTGTACAATTTTCTTAACTGTCCATACAGAAGCTGTCGTGGGCGAAAGTGTCATCGTCATCAAGAAGTTACTTCAGATGCGAGTAAGTAAACGACATACACACGCATGTGTATTTATTTTTATGCACAAACAGACTAACGCTACACGCACACGCACACACACACATCACACACACACACCACACACACACACCACACACACACCACACACACACACACACACACACGCACACACACACACACACGCACACACACACACACACTCACCTTCATGCATACATCTTTGTGTGTTGTTCATTTTTACATTCGTTTTATTTGTTCAGCCATCAGATCACAAAGACATTATCGTACACATGGCCAAGATGACTGACCACATTGCTGTTCCAATGGCCAAGGTTTTATATTTTTTAAACCATTAATCAAAAATTTAAATTTTTTGTTTAGTTATTATATTGCGGGATTTAATTAAATAGGAGAACTTGGCATGCAACAAGATGGGGACCTGTTGATTTTTACATTATCCTGCTCCTTGCTCATCATCTTGTTGCAGTTCATTACTTTTAATTGAAGAAAAAAATTTGTTACTGTGGCAAATTTTTTTTGTGTCTTTTATAAAATTTTTAAATGTTGTCACAGACCAAAGAAAATCCCGTCGCGGGCAATATAATGATGATGGTGATGATGACGGCATATTTTTGTTTTCTTAAAATTTAAATTTTTTTTATTTCTGTACACAACCAGGCCAGCATACTCTGGCTGATTGGTGAATATTCAGACAGGGTTCCAAAGATTGCCCCTGATGTCCTCAGGAAAATGGCTAAAAATTTTGTCGATGAGGTTATAAAAATAAAGTTAATGTTTGAATTATTTTCTCGTATTAACAAAACGACAGCTTTAATGAACATTAATGACACAACGCTGACAACAATGTTAAACAGGAAGACATTGTGAAGTTGCAAATCCTCAACCTGGCAACGAAACTCTATTTGACCAACCCGAAGCAGACCAAACTGCTCTGCCAGTATGTCTTCAACCTCGCCAAATATGACATCAACTACGACATCAGAGACAGAGCTCGTTTCCTCAGACAGCTTGTATCTTTGAAGGAGGACAAGACAGGGGCATCCAAGGAGGGAGGACTGCTTGCTAAACATGCAAAAAAAATTTTATTGGCTCCGAAGCCCGTTCCTGTTCTGGAATCCAGATTCAAAGGTGGCTCTGCTTTACATTTTGTTCAAGGGTCGCTTTTTCATTGCACTTGTCTTTTTGATGTATAGCGTGTTTTTTGATTTATTCTTAAATGGAACAGTAAATATGAAATCCTGATTTATTTGAATTCCTCAACTTCCATAGACATGGATCATTTCCAGCTGGGCACCCTTTCACACGCTATCGGAGTAAGGACATCAGACTACCAGGAACTGCCTGATTGGCCCGATGTAGCCCCCGACCCCTCGGTCAGAAACATCGAACCTGCCCTTCCATGGTCTGAGAAGAAGAAGTTCATCAAGAAAATTGAAAAGAAGGTGAACAAGCCATTCTTTTCTGATGAAGAGGAAGACGAAGATGGCGATGGAGGTAAAAGTCGTAAAAATCGAGGAGCAACTGGAAAAGATAGTGGCTCTGAAGGTTGGTTGGTTGGTTTGTCGGTTGGTTGGCTGAGTAGGTTGAGTTGGTTTGGTTGGTTGGTTTGTTGGTTGGTGCCGTTTTTCGTTTATTTCATCAAGTTATTCCTGAAGACTATTAATATTATTTTGATAAAAATTTCTATATAATTTGTAACAAGAGGTTAATGTAATTAAAAAGAATCTGAAAAAACATTTGTTTTCATTATAGATAATATCTATTAATTTGGTTCGATTAGATCATTAATTTATTTCATCATTTTACTGTTATGGATAGTGCTTTTGAGTAACTTTTTGTTTTTTTAAGCGCTTTTTAAATATTTGATAATAAATAAATAAATGAATAAATAAATATAAATAAATGTGCGTTGAAAATAATGGTATTGATTGAATTCATTCGGAGCAGACTCCTCTTCAGGTAGCGGTGATGATTCGTCAGCAACTTCGTCGTCACTTGCCAGTGCGGACGATTCTGACGATGATGATGATGACACGAGTGATGATTATGATTCTGATGGCAGCGATAATGGCGGAAAGAAAATTAAAAAAGTTAAAACGTCCAAGCAACATTCCAGTGACGACGACGATGATGATGATGATGGAAGAGGTGATGATGTGAAGGCTGCCGGCAAGAGTAACAGATCTAAAACGATCGTCCATAAACACAAAGAGACAATCGGTGATGGTAATGATAGTAGTAGCAGTGCCACCGATGATGATGATGATGATGATGGTGACCCGGATAGCGACAGCGAAGAAAGCAGTAACACTGACGATGACGATGATGAAGTTGGGAAAGAAAAGGAGAGTGCTCCCTCAATAAAAAAACAGGAAAATGTAAATAGAAGTCGTAATAATACCTACCATTCATTCTTTTTCCTAACTGCCCTTTTACCTTTAATTCTATACCTATCCTTCACTTTCTTTGCTCCTACCTTTCAAATTTTTCAAAACTTTTTAATTGTTTCCAACTGAACGTTGACATTGCCAATTTTTATAATATCCGGACAGGGTCAAAAAGATCTGGCTCCTTCCACAAGCAAAATCAACAACCAATCAGATGAGTCTGTTAAGCCTTCTCAACTCCTCCTTGATCTGGATGACTGTTAGTAAAAATTATATTTTTTAATTTTAGATCTAAAGTCGATGTGTTTGTTGGCTTTGATAATCTGAATTTGGTTAGCTGGATGAAGTAATTAATCGTAGAGATGATTATAATAATGCTCAAATTTTATTCAGTTGGTCCTTCGTCGTCTTCAGTCCTTAATCCCTTCCCGATTCTCACTCCTTCACTCCCGCTTCTTCAATCAGTCGCTCCATCTCAACCTCCAACAAAACCCAACTACACTAATGTTAGTGTTGATGAAGCTGTTGTTGTTAATGTTGTTGTTGAATTTGTTGTCACTTATAATGTTATAAATAATTTAGTCATCTACCCTTCATATTGTAACATGTCCGTCTGAAAGGATTTCACTCAACATCCACCTACCAGTCCATTTATCTTTTACTACTTACCTACCTATTCATCTTTTTAACTTCCGTTCATTCAATCATGCATTCCCCGATCAATGCACGAAGGTGGTCGGTTCAACGCTGGGACCACGACCAGCCAAGGAGCTTTTGAACAGAATGTCCGGTGCTGGCATTTCCATCTACTACTCCTTCTCTCGCACCATCTCCATCTTCTGTCCCTCCATGGTCTCCATCGAACTGGTCATCTCCAACGAAGGGGACACTGTCGTTGAGAACATCAGGATGGGTGATAAGGTGGGTGGATCAGGTGGTTTTCGTGTAGGATGGTGGTGAATATGAAATTGTGGTGGAAATATGAAAGATATAACGTGCCGACAGAATGGGGGATATCTAATAGTTGATGGGTTTTGTTGTGATGGGTTTGTCATGCTGCAGTTTGATGGATGATTCGAATGTGCAAAAAGTGATAAAAATAATGTCGATGTGATCCAGATAGAACTATTCGTAGACTTATTTATCAATGCTGATATTGAAGATGATGCCGTGGATTTCTGTGTTTTCGTTGTGATTTGAAAGTTATTTAAACTGAATTGGTTCAACATAGAGTTGAAATATAAAATTAGTTCATTTGAAAATGACTGTCAATTTAATTTAAAATCAGAAACTGGGAAGTGGCATGAGCATGCAGGACTTTACAGAAATCGGTAGTTGTTTCATAGTTGCCACAAAATATTTATCAGCAATAAATAACGTGTATAATTTTCATTTAACTTTACGCTTTATGGCTTCATTCGTTATTGAATTATTATTATTATTCGTTATTCATTCGTTATTCATCGATAGTTGTCATGCTAGATTAGCAAATGAGTGTTAGACAGCAAACATACTGAATAACGCGATTATTTCTATTCCATTTGGCTTCATCAGCCAAGCTAGCTCCTGGCAACAAATCAACGGTCGTCTTGTTGGTCGATTTCAACGACACCACACAATCTGCGCAGTTCGAAGTTTGCTGTGGAGATAAGAAGAATAATCTTTCAATTTCGCCACCTGTCGGCGAAATTATCAGGCCGCATACTGTCAATGAGAAGGAATTTTTCACTATGCAAGGTTGATTTAGCAAAATGCACCGTTTAATTTTTTCAAAATTATTCGAATATCTGTTTTTTAATTTTTCTAATTACTATTTCCTGTTTTATCCTAATTGTTTTGTTTTAATAACATTTTAAACTACTCCATCTTTTATGATTTGTAACTATTAATCTCACTAACGTAAAAACAAATCAGGCAAATTAGGTGGCATGAACGAAAACTCTTTCACCCTGGCAAACGTCAGTGAAGATGTCGCGAAGAATCCGCAACAACTGTGCAACAGAATTTTCAAAGTGGCAAACATCCTTCTCGTTCCCTGCCAGAAAGAACACGTCTACCTGTTTGCGGGTAGGACTGCCTCTAGCAAGGCAGACGTCCTGGTCTCCATATCTGTGAAGGACCAATCAAAAGTCAATGTCAAGGTCAACTGTGATAAAATTGTTATTGGTTCTATGCTGGCCAAAGATATCAAAGAATCTTTGCTGTCCGACGATTGATTTTCATTATTAATATTCGATTAATTCTTCAATTCTATACTCATATTCAAATTACCTATGAAATCTTACACTTAATAAAGATAAATTATAATTATTTTCTATTGTAATTAACTCACAATCTTTATTTCATGATTGTAAATTTTTTTATGGTGGCATATTTTTATTGATTTAGTTTAAGCATTGATTCCTTTGACCAGTAAATATCGAAAATGAAACATTGTTCTGTTGTGCTTTTTGTTAACGAATAAATGTCATATGGTGTTCTCGTGTGTCAGGCGTTTACGAACCATACGCTCTTTTTTCGGTTTGAAGTTTGTCAGTGAATGATGAACATCTGACTGCACAAAATTTATTTCTTCGTGGAGGGTTTTGTTATAGGTAATCAATCATTCAATCATTTTTTCCCAGTCATTCCAGTTTATTGTTTAATCCATGTCTAATTTAGAGTGCGTCTGTTCTGTTTTACTTTTAATGCTTATATTCTCTGTTATAATGATTATTCTATTTGAATGTTGTACACACCGCTATTATATATATATATATATATATATATATGTGTGTGTGTGTGTGTGTGTGTGTGTGTGTGTGTGTGTGTGTGTGTGTGTGTGTGCGTGAATATATGTTTGTGTATGTATGTATACATGTATGTATGAGTGAATGAATAGATGAATGAATGATTGAGTTTGGAATGGACGGAGTGCTAAAAATTTAGTTTGACCCCCGTTACACGCATTTACTATTGAAACATAATCTGATTTGGTTGGTCCGCTGGTTTGATTAGTCCGCTGGTTTGATGATTTGATTAATTTGTATCTCCCAGGTGTCAGGAAGCAACTTTTTATTTTTTCTTTCATTTGATTAGTAGTAAATAACTTAAGACAAAAATGTTGCGATTTTGTTTGTTAAATGTGAACAATTCTTTGCTGACAGCATTGTTTACAAACAAAATGTTTCATGAAGCAATTTGAATTTAAAATTTAATCTCAAGTTCAGTTATAAAATTTGGTCTGCCAAGTAAACGGACGAGTTATCGATTGATTATCAAAGATAAGATTAAACAGATAAGCATTTCTGCATGATTAGTTAGCGATAATTTTATTTCAAAACATTTCCAAAGCGAATAAACATTTCTGCATTATTAGTTAGCGATAATTTTATTTCAAAACTTCTCAAAATGTCTCAAGACTGGCACAACAGCCAGTACCGGGATTCTTTCGAGGCGAAACGTTTGGGGAACTGGGAAATTCCGAAGGAGAGAGACTGCACTCTCGGTAAAAAGACCATGATCGGCTTTACGCACTTCATAGGAAACGACAGAGGACATCTTTACGGAACAGCGAAAAAAAATCCCAAAGGACCGTGGGGCGGATATATCGATACGTTCAACCTACCGAAGAAAATTCCAGGACCGAGATCCACCGTACCGACTTCTCGTCGAGCTGAATTGGTGGATAAATTTAATAAAGAAGCTAAGAAATTTAAAGATGAGCTGATCGTTAAAGCACTGCCGTTGAAAGAAAAATTAAAATATGAACTGAGAACTAAACAGCAGACCAGCATCTACTCGTCAAACAATGCCCAAGTTAATGATGATGAGATTGACAATGGGAATGCATGCGATGTAAAGGTTGCAGGCGATCAATCAAACAAAACAGCATGTGCCGGTGACAAGGAGGAATGTTCCAACTCGGTCGGCGATGTTATCGATCAATCGAACAATGCAGTCGGATGCGACGCACAAACCGACAACTGCGCACGTCCAATAAAAGAAAATTGATTCCGACGTTAATTCTCTCCATTCATTTACAAATGCATAATTTATTTTACATTCGGTTTTCAAGTCATTCATTATTGTTCACGCTATTCATAGCCTATAGATTTATGCTCACTGTCATTATTATTTTGTTACTATTTTATTATTTCGTGGTCATTTCGTTTAATTTTTACTTTCTTTTTTGACTGTTTGAATGTTGTTGTTGTTCATCTGACGAGTAGAATATTTATTGACCAATAGCCTGTCAAGCAATGACACCTAGCTTGTCATCTATGATCACCAACGCACGTACCTTCTTACTAACTCTAAATCGTTTCTAAACAATTTTATAGCGTAACTCAGGCCGGTGTATTTTTTTAAATTAAATTAACCCAACATTTAAACATTTAAGTTAGATTGAATAAAGAGACGTATTTTTCACAAATTGTTGTCGTTTTACAAAATATACAATAATCGTATTAGAGTAGCGAAAAAAGCAGCAGACCTAAGAGTAAGAGAGGTGTTTGTTTGGCATCAATTATTTAAAGGTTTGTGACGTGTTGCTTGTTTGTCGGATGACAGATGCAAGTGGTTCGTATATGTTCTTTTTCATCTAATTATTTTTTCTGTTTCGCCTTCTTTGCCTCTCCCTTGACAAGTTCTGTTAATGACATTGTTGTTTATATTTTGGTTTTTGTTTTTTGTTTTATTTTAAGTATTGGAAAAATATTTTCATACAAATGTTCATAGTGAAACTTCTTATTAAAAATAATTGATAATTGATGATGTTCCTCCATTTTTAAAGATATTTCTTAAATGATCTTCCAACTTCAACCTTTTTTTTCCATTTTATTTTTCATTTACCTTCTCCTCTCTACACTTCTCATTCTTCACCTCTATCTCGCAAATTAAGCGTATGTTAATGAAAAGATAGATAGGTGGAGGATGAGTTCCTCAGTTAATTAAGCACAGCGCTACTACACCATAATGAAGTCACTTGTTTCTTTTTTCTTTGCGGCCTGCTGGCAATTATTCATTTATTTATCTCTTGAAAAATGCTACATCACTTACACAAACCCACACACAAACACACACACAAACACACAAACACACACACAAAACACCGTCACCAATGACATCGATAACGTTGCATATTATTTCATCTCCTACATTCATCAGCAAGAACATCAGCAGCAGCAACAACATCAACATCGTCACATGCAGCGGAAACCAGCACTACATCAACTAAACTGCATGTCATTGCAACAATTATTGTCGGATCTTAGGAAAAAATCTTGTCAGGCCCCTTCCTGACGGCAAATCTTCTTATTTATCACTCGAATGTTCCAATGATAATAACGCTAATAATAATAACAACAACAACAACATTAATAATAATAATAGTAATAATAATAACATTAATGTCATTGATGGTGGTGAATAAATAAAAAAAGTATCGATAAATAATCCATTTCTTTAATAAACGTCAGATGTGCGTTTGTTTATGTTTGTGCGTGCATGTGTGTGTTGTGTATTATATATGTACGTGTGTGGTGTGTACATATGTATTTATGTGTGTGTTGTATATACACACATATATGTATATATACACGCGTGTGTGGGGTGTGTACATATGTGTGTTGGCGTTTCTGGGTTTGTCTACCTGTTGTAATTTCGTGGAAGCACTCATTGCGCAGAAACATTAAGATATGTTGTTATGCTGAGAGATATTTAATTTACAGTGGCGGTACTCAATTTTTTGAGCGTGAAAATTTAAAATTTGGTAATGGGTATTCAGGCGTTTTTGATATATAGTTCCTTTGCGGAAAAGAGGTAACTGGCCTAATTTTAGCCACACCAGTACAAATATGGTTAGTTTTTAAGCCTCTCGTCAAATTTCAAAATTTAAACATTCTCAAAACTTTTGCCCCCCCCCCCCCGTCAAACTTGTCTAGATCCTTCCCAGTTAATTCGTATGCATCGTATCCACACACAGCGCCGTGCGTGGCTGACAACCGTTTCTAACTTATTCGAAATTTATTCAAAATTTTCAAATTAAATCAAATATTTCTTTCAAACGAACTCTCCTAAGGTTGCTGACGTGGCAGTCTGCACGCTGCAAAATATTTTATTAAATTTTACTTAAATTTCAAACAAAAATCATCCATTGTGGCTAGACGCTTCTTACATGCACGGTACACATACACACACACATACACCAACATGTATACACAAACATGGCCACATAAATAAAAACATGTATATGAAAACTTAGAAACATTAGTACAAAACACACACACAACATTCACTTGTAATATACGCTTATAATATACACATGTATATACACAGCAGAAGACACATACGTACACATATACACTTGTATGTGTACTGCACATACACACACGTGTACTATATTGCGTATATACACAATCGTTATCATTATTTCCGAGCCGTTCAAGATTTGCACTGCGACTTAATTGACGCAAACACGTCGTTATACGCGAATGGTTATTTACAGGTAATGATGATGATGATGACAATGATGATGATGATAGTGATGATGATGATGATAGTGATGATGATAGTGATGAGGTTGATTGAAAGTAGTAATCAAGTCTATGATGACGATGATGATGTCGACTAACGTTCAACTAAGCAAAAAATAAGGATGATTCAGGCGCGAACTTCAACAAAAAACACACCACACATACACACACGCACACACTCACGCAGACACACACAAACGCACGCACACATATACACACACACATGCACATACTTCAAAAGATACTAAATACGACTTCCGCCAAAGAGCGAAGCACGCCCCAACAGCAATCAACCAAGCAAAAATACGTATGATAAAAAACACAGCAGCAACAAACACACAAAGACAAACAAACGATTGTATAAACAAAAACAAGAAAAATAAACGATCAAACAAACCGACTGAAAAATAAAGAAAAATAGACATGCATAAACATAAAACATACCAAAAATTAGAAAACAAACAGACAAACATAATCAAATAAACAAACAAACGAAAAACGATGCAAACTGACAAACAAAGATGTAATCAGACAGACAGACAGAAACAGACAGACAAGCAGACAAACAGGCAGACAAACAGACAGGCAGACAACCTATGCATTCATATATGCATACATGACTAGGAGCACTTGTAACGTCGCCTTCCCATGTTGGCAGTCTTCTGTTGATGTTCGCGCCATGTCACATGACGTTCATTTATGCGCGCGCACACAGAATCATACAATTTGTTAAAAACAGACAGGTTAACAAACAAACAAACAAACAAACAAACAAACAAACAAACAAACAAACAAACAAACAAACAAACAAACAAACAAACAAACAAACAAACAAACAAACAAACAAACAAACAAACAAACAAACAAACAAACAAACAAACAAACAAACAAACAAACAAACAAACAAACAAACAAACAAACAAACAAACAAACAAACAAACAAACAAACAAACAAACAAACAAACAAACAAACAAACAAACAAACAAACAAACAAACAAACAAACAAACAAACAAACAAACAAACAAACAAACAAACAAACAAACAAACAAACAAACAAACAAACAAACAAACAAACAAACAAACAAACAAACAAACAAACAAACAAACAAACAAACAAACAAACAAACAAACAAACAAACAAACAAACAAACAAACAAACAAACAAACAAACAAACAAACAAACAAACAAACAAACAAACAAACAAACAAACAAACAAACAAACAAACAAACAAACAAACAAACAAACAAACAAACAAACAAACAAACAAACAAACAAACAAACAAACAAACAA